AGAATCAAGAGAGAGAGAAGTTCCCAGAATCCTCATGAGAAGGCCACGCCCACAAGGAGGGCTCATCAAGCGGTGACCTGTTTGACAGGCTACACTCCACCCTTTCATTCTTTGATCAAGTTCTCCTGAAATTGTGTAACCACCACAGACTATCACTATGTCCGGGGTGGAAAACCTCATCGTCATCCCACCAAGCTGCTCCCCTCACAGTTGTCAGGCCAGCATGCAACCCACTGCCCCGCCAGAGCTCTCCAAAGGAGACATTTATTTGCAAACAATAAAAATAAACCACTCAGCAAGTTGCTGTCCAGTGGATTCTGATTTATGACTACCACAGCTGTACACAGAGTGACCTTTCAAGACCATGACCTCTCCGAGCAGACCACCAGATCTTACAGTTGACCAACGGTCTTCTTGTGCTTTCCGTTTTATTGGCATCGTGTTCTCATACCGAACATTTCAGCGGTTTAGACATGTTAAAAAGAGTTGTGCAGGCATGTATTTTAGAACCTTTTAGAACTAATTTTAGAACCTTTCATTTATTTCTGTACTCATTAGCTCCCCATTAATCCAGTCATTGTTTTTATAGATTCACCTATCCTCAATTTCATATAAAGCAAAGCATACCACCCCCACCCCTCCAAAGAAAAACAATTATAAAACAAATTACAGAAAGACCTCAATAGAAAAGAAAGCAGAAAATAGTTATCATTAGAACAAATGATAAGTCATCATTTTATTGGGGAATAATATAAATCATCCACATGGAGCATATGGTAATTCTATTGATTGTATCAGTACTTGAGCCAATGGTAAAAAATTAAAATACTGCTTAGAAAACTAAAGTATACACACATAAGGCAACTTTTAGAATAAAATACATGGATTGCTGACTTGTGCAGATTAAAACTCAAGTGACAGGACACTATGCAAACAATGAGTGTTGGGCAAAGCTTTCAAAACCACTCATTTACTAGGGAAAACTATGCCTATTGGATGAAGATGTGTCTTACTAAAGCAAAGAAAGTAGGACAATAATACACAGTAGTCTTAGATGATCAATTATTAGGTACTCTCCAAAAAAGAGATTTGAAACCAAGTCCAATGACTTCCAACTCCTCAACCTCTGCTTCTTCTCACACTAGAGTGTTTTAGTCTTAAATCCATGGGAGTATTTAATTTCCTGTAGTCTGCTACAGGTGTGTTTCAGGTAAAGTCTAGTTTGCTGAGTGGGACTGGACAATAGTCTTTTAGTTAATATTTTCAAACCTTTAGCCACTTGTTTAGCTGCTTAGGGACTTCTACAGACAACACAGTGACTGACTTCACCATCACGACCCAAGCAAGATATAGACTTATTCTTTCGTTCGTTCTTTCTTTTTTTA